CTAGATTTTAATTTTAGAAAGTTAGTAAATTTTATGAAAGATTATCCCGATATGTATACAAATGAAATGATAAATAGTGTACAAGAAGTTATTGATATTAATATTAAAGATGTTAGTCTATCAACTGCAATAAAACTTACTAAAGAAAATAGTTTAAATACATATTCTATTTAATATTAATGGACGCGAGGAACGAGCCTCGCGTGCTAACGCGACCATCTTTTTTATGATATGCTGGCAGTGAATATCATAAAAATGGAACAGGCTTTCCATTGCTTCAATCAATAAGCATTGAAGATAATTAGTTTTGTGTCTTGCTCGCGTGTGCAATGAAAACCCCAAGTGCTGTGCCCCACCAATATTCTATTATGCATGAAAATAATAAGATCAAATAATTATTTTTAATAATTATTTCATCTTATTATTTAATATGGATAGAAGTTATTCAGATTATATTGATATAATAGATGAAGTAGAGAATATAGAACAAGTGATAATAACTGACAACAGATGTAAGAAAGTATGCTTTTATACATTAGAATTAATAAAATTAGGAATACAATATATCAAAAATAAAAATGTAAATATTAATATAAATGGGAAAAAAGAAAAACAAAAAGAATAAAACAGATACTACAGTTTCTTCAACAGATGAAGACAAAGAAGAAGAAATTGTTAAAGAAACATCAGTTATTGAGTTTGCTTGCCCTATGTGTAAAAAGATGTTAGCAATGAAGAACGAATTAGAAATTCAAAAGAAAGGAAATTGTAAATGTTCGTGTATTCCGACAAATTTCAAATTGAGCAAAAACGATAAGAAAATGAATATTGATAAAACTAAAGACAGTATCAACTTAGAAACTGATGTCCATAATATAACTTTTAAATGGGGAAGGCATGCATCACCATCCGATAATGGCGATAACGAAGCACAGGAAACTATTAAACAAATGATGAAAATTTAGTATTTAAAGAGTAGATTTTACATTAAATCAATTTTATAAATAAATAATTTAATAACTAAATATCTAATTATTTGTATAATCATAATGCCAACTATGAATAGAGAAGACCATAGAGTTATAACTTTTGACGATGAAGAAATTAAAGACCTATTCGATGGTGATAAAAACTTTGCTAAACAATTGAGCGAAGAATATTTTTATTGGTTTGATGCTAAATTCAAGGATACATATTTTATGAAAGGTATAACCAAACCAGATAAATTTGATAAAATATTGAAATTTCATGAACTCACAAATGACAAGGAAGGTTTAATAAAAATGAACAATAAAATTGGTGAAAGACTGTTAGAATATAATTTATTTACAGATGTAACATTATATTATTTAGGTAAACTGTATAATAAAACGCATAAATAAATATTTAAATAAATAATTATATAAACAAATATATATAGAAATGTCTGAAGTTGAGAATGATGCTATTGCTGAACTATCAAAGAAGATAATGACAGTTAGTAAAAATGTTAAACTGTTGTACGAGATGATAAAAACTATTGACCAGAAACTTGATGCAAAGGCAAACGAACCAAAAGATAACAATGAAGAGAAGGAAAAGATTGACAAAATCTTTGAAAAGAAAGGGATAGGCAGACCCAGCGGTGATTATGACACGAAGCGTAAAAAATATTGTGATATGTTAAATAAGGGACAAATCAAAAGTCCAAAATAACAAACATTAGAATACTATAAGATTATTAAGGAAGATGATAAATATGTATATTTCTAAAACATTATCTAAATCATTCTAATAAACAATATTAATTTATTAGAATTATTTAGTGGAACTGGAAGTGTAGGAACCATAGCAAAGTCATTAGGTTTTAATGTCATCTCATTAGACTTGAAAAATGCTGATATTAATTGTGATATTTTGGAATGGGATTATAAACAATTTGACAGAAACCACTTTGATTTTATTTGGAGCAGTCCCCCGTGCACCGAATATAGTGTAGCAAAAACGACAGGAATTAGGAATATTGAATATGCTAATAGTATAGTTTTAAAAACTATTGAGATTATCAAATATTTTAATCCTAAACATTTTGTAATTGAAAATCCTCAAACTGGATTATTAAAAAATCAGGAGTTTATGAATGAGTTTGATTTTAAAGATGTTGATTATTGCAAATATGGATTTAATTACAGAAAACGCACTAGACTTTGGAATAACATTACGAATTGGACACCTAGAGATTTATGTAATAGAGATTGTGGAAAAATAAGGAATAATAAACATATTGAAACTGCGCAACGACTGCCATCAAAAACTAAAGCAGAATGGGGGGATAATTATGTAATTCATAAGCAGGAAGATTTATACAAAATACCTGCTGAATTGATTTGTGAGATTTTGACGAGTTTGGTGGATTAAAGAAACGAGTTTGGGGTTGTGCTTGAAACTCGAGGAAAATGTCATTTAGTTGCTGCCCCCCTTTTGTGTGGCTGGCTGCCCCCCTTTTGTGTGGCTGGCTGCCCCCCTTTTGTGTGGCTGGCTGCCCCCCTTTTGTGTGGCTGGCTGCCCCCCTTTTGTGTGGCTGGCTGCCCCCCTTTTGTGTGGCTGGCTGCCCCCCTTTTGTGTGGCTGGCTGCCCCCCTTTTGTGTGGCTGGCTGCCCCCCTTTTGTGTGGCTGGCTGCCCCCCTTTTGTGTGGCTGGCTGCCCCCCTTTTGTGTGGCTGGCTGCCCCCTGGCTTTTTGTGTGGCTGGCTGCCCCCCTTTTGTGTGGCTGGCTGCCCCCCTTTTGGGTGGCAGGTCATGTCCTCCTCCATTAATATTGCCTGACTATTAAATTAACCCATAAACCTTACAATAAAAAACATTGTAAGATTTATGTTTGAAAATTTGGGGATTTTATATTTTGGGATTTTGGAAAAATATATTTTGGGAATTTGGGATTTTTAAGATGGTCTGGTCTTAAAGACATGCCACCTATCAATAGTAGCATGGAGATGACTGACAAAATGCAAAAATGTAGGCGATGTGAAAACACTTATCCACCTGACCTATTTAATGTTAGAGTGCATATTTGTGATTACTGCCGAGAACAAAGTAAAATTGATAGGAAGGAAAAGAAAAAGGAATATAATAAAGTGCGTAATCAGATTGAAATAGAATGTGATATTTGCCAGTGTAAAGTGAGGAAATCTGCAATATCCAAGCATTTGAAAACACAGAAGCATATTGAGAATGAGAATAAAGTAAAAACAACAGTTGAGGAAGAAAAACCTAATGAAATTGAAAATTCAAAACCTCCAGTAGCACCAGGGGTCAAAAAGGAAATGGAGGAAGTGAAGGACAAAGTTTTTCAAATTGTAGGTGAATTACCTTTTCTGGAAAATTATTTCATTTCAGCATATTCCGTGAGGAATTCTGCAATTATTCAAATTATGAAATAATATGATTTAAATTTTAACCATGAACTTTACAATAAGAATATTGTAAAATTTATGATTTATATTTCTTCGGAAAAAATGATAATTTTTGTAAAAAATATATTTTTGAAAATTTAGAAACATATTTACAAAATTTATGTATCAAATCTTGAGTTGAGGTTCTGTTATGAAATGATGAAAAAATATTATGTGAATTGGTCGGTTGAGGGGATTTTATCCAACTGGGGGGTCCTCTTGGGTAGGTCTAACAGACCCTCAATTTCCAAGTTTCTGGACTTTATTCACTTTTTGGGCTTGGACCATTTGAAGCGGACGTACGTTTCCCGACTTTTTGTGGGTCAGCCCACCGCAGGAAGTGAGAAAACGCGTAAAAATTAACCAGCCCAAACATTCAGGTGCATTGTTTTTGTCCATGCCCACTGGGCGTCTGGGTAATCATACCCATACACTACTCAATGAAAACTGCATACACATAATTTTATGTTGAGGGGTTCCACCAATTCGGGGGGAAATTAAAGCTAGGTCGCTATGATGTAGGTACTTTGTTTTGGAGGATCCAATTCTTTTTTCAGCGATAGGTTGTGGAAAATGCAGGGATGCAGACATTGATTTCTCCGACCTGTTAAAAGCTGGCCAAACGATTTCAAGTTGGCCCCCCAACAGTCAAAATGGGTGCCCGCACGGGTTGCGGTTACTTGATTGGTTCCATGGTTGCTTGTCTGCTTGGTTGCTTGGTTCGATTGGGGGACTTGTTTCATGTTTGGGTGACTTGGTGGAATCATGGGGCCAGACATAGGGTTTCTTGTTTGCTTCTTTGGCGGGTTGCTGGTTGCGCCGTTCCAGTTTGGAGCTAGGAGAGCCCAGAGATCACGAGACCCATTTCACAGGTTCCCATCGCTCAGGTTCCCATCGAGCGCGTGGCATGCGAAAGCAACTCGTTGGTTAGAACCGGGGCTTCGGTTTTTCTCTTGGCTTCCCTTCTAGGTCCCCCAGCGATCGGTGCCCTTTTTGCCGTTCCTTTTTTGGTTGGGAGGGTTCAGGACCCTGCCAAAATAGACTACAGAAAAAAGTTGGTTCCCTTATTCTAACCTCTCTACTGGAGGACCTAGCCTTGAAAATTACCAGAAAAGGGAGCTCACGAAAAAACGACGCCCATTTGGGGTCACGAAGGATTGGCTTCATCCAGGCTAAGGCGCCTGGCCGTGAAGGAAAGTGAGCCGCGAAGGTTTGTGGGAAGGACACCAGCAGCATGCGCGGTTCGTTTTCTCAAAGATGGCCTTCCGTTTTTCCAGGCTGGGGTCATTTCTTTGAATGTTTTTGGAGGTGATCAAGGCATTGGGATGAGGTGACTTGTGGACAATTCATGGGGCCAGTCAGAGGACCCACAATCAACCACCAAAGGCTTTCATTTGCTTAAGAGCATGTTCTATTTCCCCCGTTGGTTTGTGAAGGGAAGTCGGAATTCAGCACTACTGGACATATTTGTTTTTGTTTGTTTTTTGCAAAGGGTCGTATTCGCAAATGGAATGGAGGGTTCAGGAAATTGGGGGCGATTTTGGGACGCGCCGGAGAGTGGGAGAGTCAGGCGGACGTGTCTTGCGTGGCATTGGGCAATGACCATTCCCTGGCCTTGGTCAGCGGCAAAATCTTCAGGCGCTGGGCCGGATCTGACGGGATCCGACGGGATGCGCGGAAGCTGATTTCTTCAAGCAATTTGTTTCTACTCTGGATGGCTGCGAAATCCATTTCGCACCACATTGAAACCCTGGGAAACCATACTTTGTCATATTTACAGGAGAATCAGACCATTCCAGGGTTTCTTAGGTGGTGCGAAATGGATTTGTCCATCCACAGTATGTTCAACTGGCAGGACCCTTTTCACCCTTTTCACTTGGAACCTGACTCCCTTTAAATGGAAGATGGTGTTCCAGGAGCTCGAACGTCAGGTTCCATGTTAGTTGGTGGGGTAAATAGGGTATAGCCACGGTTATTTTTATATTTTTCGCCCCTTGCCATTATGCCTCACTGAGTTGGGTTGAACATTGAGGCATCCAAGGCATCCAAGTCTCGAAGGGAGCCTTCTTTTTTTTTGCGAGGAGAGTCGGCTATGAAATTTGCGGTTTCGATGGCCCGGTGGATTGGCGGTTTTTCATTGGCCCGGTGGTGTCGATTTTTTTACTTGAAGGGGCTAAATGGGAGGGGCCCCCTCCAAAGCTTTGGCGAACATTTTGCCAAGGGATGTTGGGACTTTTCAACATGGTTTGCCCCACGAATGGAAGTCTTCCGTAGCAAAAACCACTAAAAGTTAGTTCAATCTTTTAGCAGGGCCGAACGCAGAAATTTCGCAGCGCTTGCGCGAAAAAAAACGCACCGGAGTCCCGAACTCCACCGAGTCGGCGCCCAAAGCAGCAACTGTCGGCCCCGGACCTCGGATGGAAACCCCGCCCAGGACTCCAAAAGGTTGGCCCACCTGGGAAACGTTGGATGCGGCTTTTCCATAGGGATTCACCAAAAGGTTAAACCCAGCTTGGGGCGGGGCCCCTATTTTTGTTTGGACCTTTTGGAGGGAATGCTCCATGAATGACCAATGACCCCCTTCTCACCCGTCCCTATGGTTTCATGTGAGGGGATTCCGTTTTCAATCCCCCAACACCCGGAAGGGTCACTCCCTACTTGCCGCACGTTCGTTCCCACCCGGAAGGGTTCCCTACTTATCGAGCCAGCAAGAAACAGGTGATCAACCTTGCTGGGCAGGGGGGGGCTTGGAGCGACCTAGTCTAGGTCCCCCAGCTAGGTGCCACCTTTTACCGTTTCTTTTTTTGGGGGAGGGTTCCCCTACTAAAATAGACTACAGAAAGAAGTTGGTACCCTTATTCTAACCTCTCAAATCTGGAGGACCTAGGATTATTAACTGTAAAATCCCAGAAATTATCTTGGAAATGATATCAAATGAAGAAATTATTAAGATGTAAACTTCTGGATGTCTACTGGAGGATCCGCTCGCAAGGTGGGGTCTCCTCACCGCGAGGCTGGGATGAGAGCGACTGGAGCGCTCACACCAAACCTCAGAAACGCAGGCCCAAAGAAAAAGTCAGGAGATAATGTAGAATGGGCTGATATGGGCTGTCTGCGGGGGAAATGAGTTTGGGTGGCCAGCAACGGCCAATTTCTCGCAGATCTTGCGGATAGGTTCATGGAAAGAAAAGGCGGTTCTGCGGTTAGGCCAAGTTTCCGCGGGAAGCATGGTGTGAACAAAGCCCTTAGTGATTTGTAGTGGACAATCTTTGGCTTTTGCCCTGGAATCTAGGTCCCCCAGTAGTGCCCTTTTACCTTTTTTTTTTTCTTCTACCCTTATCCTAACCCCGTACCGGTACTGTTATTCTAACCTCTCTACTGGAGGACCTAGAAAGGATGTGGAAAGGCAGGGGGAAAGGCTTGGTTTTTCAACCCTGAGCTGGTTGGGGACCCCCCTTCCAGCGTTTTGAGTTTCAAGCATCCTGCTTTTGATGGGCGAAATCCGTTGGCACCACACTGAAACCATGGGAACTCATTGTCTGTTGGTAGTTGCAAGGGAATCATAAATCATTCCGTGGGGTTTCTGAACGGTGATTTCAATTTCTGGATTTCGAAACCATCCACGGTATGTAAACCTTACCCCAGTCAAAGCAAACCCCAGTTAAACCCATTGAAACCCTTCGTTTGTTACGGGCTGATTTGATCGGGCTATCGTGCGTCAGGTGCAAGGGGAGCGAGGGCCACGCAAGCGCAGTGCTGAGAGAAACTGTGGCGACCGGGGTCACTGGATTGACCTTTGGGGTTCTCTAGAACGATTTTCTATTCTAGGGCAATTAGGCGTTGGTAGACTGCTTAGTTGAAGCAGAAACAGAACATATTATTGTAATAGTTTGTTTCTGCCTCAGACAAGTTGAACTACCTCCAAGAACGGGCAGGGGCTTAATAAGCTTTTGCAGGGGCACTAAGGCCGAAGAAGACCTTAAATAAGGCGAGGCCCAAAGGGGCCAGTGACAGGATTGTGGCCTTCTGTGATATCAGGATTGTGGAAACTCACTTCGAAGTGATCAAGTGGGTACGTGATGACGTGGATGGGAATCTACTTTGGTACAGGAAAACGCCCCATGTCGTTGCTTGACCTCTGTTGGGCCAGCGGGGGGCCAGGTCTTTTAAAGGAAGAATTACTCTACACATCAGGTCGAGCGCTTGGAACCCCAGGGTGAGCGAGCCGTTGCCTCGGGCCACAAGCCATGGAGGTTGAAGGCAGCCGAGAGAGCTGCGCTGATGGTTTGGTCTGTGAGCCAGGGGGCTCGGGCGCCGTTGCAACTGCGATGCAACGCAGCCCCGGGCTGAGAGCGAGCGGCTTGGGCTCCGCTCAAAAGCCGCGGCCGGGCGGGGCGGAATCGAATCGGAAGCTCCTCCTCCCTGACTGGCGGAAAGGCCACTTGGGCGCCCTGACTGCCGGTTGCTTTGGCTTGGAGGCCGGGACGCCGCTGTTCGGAATGCCTTCCGCGCCTGGCGCGCCTCGCGGGCCTTGGGCGAAAGTTCTCACCTGGCCCCCGCAGAAACGGAACAGAAGCTGAGGCGCCCCTGCGCCGGCTAGACGTGGCGGAAGGCGACGCAGTTGCTGGGCCCCGTTTTCCCCGGGCAGCATGTCAACCCTCTTGAAAAGAAGGTGGGTATATACCCTGGAAAACCAAGGTTTCCAAAAACATAGCCTGAACGCAGCGTGTACGGGGTACGTAGTGGAACAAAAAAAATGACCGCAACCAGTTGCAACATACGATCATTCCCCTTCCACCGCAGGATGGTCTTTCGAGTCAGAGGCGCGTACGCTTTGACTCGGCGTTGCGCTGAAAGCTTTGCAGATGGCTGTGGCCAGCAGCGAGCTCGAAGCTGAGGTCGGGAGGAGGGGCTGGTGATGCCGCTACCAGCGCCTCTCTCGGAGTTTGGGCGCCCCAGAGCCGACCAGGAGCCCAGGGCGACGCAGTTGTTCTTCCATTTGCTTAAGACACTTTGTTGAGTTTCTTTGTTGGTTTCAAAGGCTCAATGGTCTTACCCTTACTCCCACTAACATGACACCTGTGGGAGGATACCTGGAAGATCAGTTTCCTCTTGGAGGGACTCCTTGTCAGGTGCCATGTTAGTGGGAGAGAGGCTAAGCAAATGGACAACTACTCAGTTGTCCAGTGGCTCCAATTTTTTTCCCCCTTTTTTCTTGGTGGCCGCCCCACTAAAATGGTCCAAGCCCAAAAAAGGGTTCCCTTGTGTTCCAGGGCCACTGAACAACTGAGACTCGCGAACTCGATTTCCCTTCAGCAGATTTCCCCCTGGTTTCGAAGGGAATCGAGTTCACCGCCGAAAAATACCGCTGATTTTTTTTCTTTCCAGGGGACTGAAGCAAATGGAAGAGAAGCAAATGGAGGAATTGTTTTTTCCGGCGCGCGTATTTTGCAATTTTGTTGGTTGGCTGCATAGGAAGCAGAATCCTGAAAGGTTACTTTTGGTGTATTCTGGAGTTGGGCCATGGTTCCAGAGGCTAAGCAATTGGGTGGCAGGAAGACTGCCGTTTTTTGGTGTCCAAACCCCATTTTCACACCCACATGATGAACAAATCGGCGTGAAGGTTCGCTCACAAACGTTTCGATCACCGATTTTGATCCATCCCCACACTCTTAGGGAAGAACCCTGTTTCTGAACAAAACATACAGTTTCAGAGGGTCAAGGCCCGGCGTTAACTTCACCAAACCGTTTGGGTGCTTTAGCCAATGGTTGTTTATGAAAACCCATGATAAACAAACACCAAACGGCATGGTTGAAACGAAGAAACTATGCAAAGGACTTCTGTCTTACAGGGTACGGGGCCTTGGGTTGCCATTTTCCGTGACCCTACCATCATCAGCGGCGCATCCATAACTTAGAGAAGGAAATGCCTCGCGCTTATTGGAGGTTTCAAACCCACGGTTCAGCGGTTTTGGGGTGCACAGGCCCCTTTAACTTTCTGAACTTAGGAATGTATGATCCTTTTGTTGGCATGTTTGGGCTGCAAGAATTGCCCGACTTTCTGCATTTCCCACTGCCCCGCGATATTTTTTTTGGACCGGATGCCAAAGTGGACACCCGCATCCCGCATCGCCCGCGCCACGAGTCTTCGGTTGTCGCTGGCTCGCAGGAAGATCCGTCACACGTTAGGTGAGCTATCAAGCGTAGCCTTGCTGCTCACATGTCGCCCCCGAGCTTTGCGCCGCCGACCCGCCGTCGTGGCGGAGTCAAACAGCGAAGCCCACCGCTTCGAGTTCCCTGCGCGGGCTCGTTGTGGCATGGCCGAGAAGTACTTCTTTTTTCCGGTTTGTTGCTGTGTGCGGTCCTTTTGTTTGGTCGTTTCAGCCTTTGTTTTTGTGTTTCCGTTGGTCTTTCACAGGTTTTTGTGTTGCCTTCTGGTTCTCTTCGTCTTCTTCTTTGGGGCTTTTCACCGGCGTTTTCCGTCTCATCCTCACGCTTTGCTTCCATTTGCTTAATATGTTTTCTTTTCCTTTGTTGGTTGTAAAAGGAATTTATCACTACTGGACACGTTTTTCTTATTTTTCCCAGGGGTCTTCCCCAAATGGAAGTTTGACCTCTTTTCCGCCGCATCCATTTCATCCACGTCGGTGACGCGTGAGACGCGTCAGGCAGGTGGTGGGCCTCGGGGGGTTCCTGTGCACCGTGGAGGTGGACTTGGCCGCGTCGGTGTGGGAGGCCCAGCTGGCCATCGCCAAGACCGCAGGCGCGGTTTGAAGGGGGGGAGGGCGGCCGGTTTTGGGGAGGAGGGAGGTGGGTTTGGGTTGAAGGAAATGTGGGGGGAGGGGGTGGGTTGGAGGAGGTGGGCTTCGGGGTTGGTTTGGGGTTGAAGGGTGGGGGGGAGGGAGGAGGTGGGTTTCGGGGTGGGTTTGGGGTTGAAGGGTGGGGGGGAGGGAGGAGGTGGGTTTGGGGTTGGTTAGGGGTTGAAGGGTGGGGGCGGGCGGGGTTTTGGGGGTTGGTTTGGGGTTGAAGGGTGGGGGGGGGTGGGGGTGGGGGGGGGGGGGTGGGGGAGTTGGGGGTGGTTTGTTAATGTTATTTTTCCCCACCCGACAGGAAGGAATCCGCGTTTGCGATGCTTCTACACCGCGCCCCCACCCAGTATCCCGCCAGAGCAGCTCGCCAGTGGATCCTGCCGAGTATCTCCTAGAGCAGCTCGCCAGAGGATCCCGCCGAGTATCCCGCCAGAGCGGCTCGCGAGTGCATCCCGCCGAGTATCCCGCCAGAGCTGCTCGCCAGTGGATCCCGCCGAGTATCCCGCCGAGTATCCTGCCAGAGCTGCTCGCCAGTGGATCCCGCCGAGTATCCCGCCAGAGTAAGTCCCGCCAAGTATCCCGCCAGAGCGGCTCGCCAGTGGATCCCGCCGAGTATCCCACCAGAGCAGCCCGCCAGTGGATCCCGCCAATCCAGACGTCCAGACATCCAGAGATCCAGAGATTCAGAGATCCAGACATCCAGACATCCAGACATCCAGACATTGAGAGATTCAGAGATGCAGAGATCCAGACATCCAGACATCCAGAGATCCAGAGATCCAGTTTCCCGCCCCAAGGGCATAGTCATATTCACACTAAACTTATAGAAGACATATCAACAAAAGCAACACAGAACACACCGCCCCCATGCCGAACGAAAGCATGGTCCAGAACGGGGTCGGCGGATTTAAAATGGTTGCAGATGTTCCTTGCTAAGGAATCCACTGGACAGGTTAGGGGCGCGGGACCCTTGTCATGCTGGGTATGTGTCTAAAAGGGTACCCTTCCGCCAACTAACATGGAAGTGCACAAAGCCCCTTGCCAAGAGGAAAGTAGTCTTTCTACAGGGGTCCATGCATTTCCATGTGAGTTGGTGGTGGGTATCCTCAAAACCATGACAACCCCAAAGACTTAAACCCAGCAGTAGTTGATTTCCCCAAAAAGGGAAACGGGTTGAAGTCCTTGGCGCAATCCAAAAAGCGGATCCCTCCAACGCACATACCTGACCTGAGCCGCAATCAAAGCCCGGGTAAATGAAGGTTAGTAAGGGATAATCCCACTAGACGACGAGCACTAGACGAGCACTAGACGGGCACTAGGCGAGCACAAGACGAGCACTAGACGGGCACTAGACGAGCACTAGACGGGCACTAGACGAGCACTAGACGGGCACTAGACGAGCACTAGACGGGCACTTGCACTACATAAATAGCTGCGGAACCTGCCTTCTAAATTCTTTGCATGGCTGTGGGTCAAACATAGGTACCCAAAATGGCTTGCCCTGGTAAATGGAACCAAAGACTTTTTACCTGCGGTCCATTTCCAGGTGGCGACTAATTTTGACGCTTCCACACTCACATGGTTCTGGGCTTGGACCATATTTGAATACCGGGTTTTGAGTATGTTCCTCACCTGGAGAAACCCCAAAGTGGACTTAAACCCAGGGGGTAGTTGATTTCCCCAAAAGGGAAACGGGTTGAAGTCCATGGGCAATCCAAAAAACGGATCCCTCAAAACACCTACCCGACTCTGGGGGTTTCGAAGCCCCCGGCAGGCATCCCGGCCCGCGAGCAGAGCTTGTTGTGCCAGGCCGGAGGGTGCATCCCAGCACCCGAAACGAAACTCGATCCCAGAACCGGTGGGTTGAAACGGAAGCGATGTTGTGATACAACAGGAAGGGGCTTCCCAAAGATGTTCAACCCATAAGTTTTGGAGATTTTTGAAAAGGATGACAGAAGTGGTTGCGGATAACCTCGTGATGCCACGGTCCAAAACTCCCACTTGCAGTTTCAATGATCCGAAGTACGGGAACCCCTGGTTGATTCATAAGGGGTGTCTTCATTTAGTGGTTGAATCCGGATCACTTTTATGGGTGATAGCCCCCTCATGAATAGGATGGGTTGAAGAATCCGGGCCAGTAGTAAAGCCTCTAATTTGTCTGGCCTGCAACCAGAATACTCCGCTGGACCCCTTGGATTGTGCCGAAGGATCTCGGACATGATTTTACATTGCAAGGTTTATTTCACTCCCTGAAGGGGACACCCGCCCCCCCCCCCAAACACACTTCCTTGGGAAATGATGAGGTTGGTTTAGCATGTTTGGTCTGTGCGTGAGTGCTCGGGAACGGGGAAGGGGGGGGGGTTGGGTTTTTTTTGAATCAGGGGCTGAATTGCAAACATGCCCTGGTGGTCCGTGTTGACTTGGGCAGGATATTGTGAGGTGTTCCCCCCCTCCTCACCCACCAGCCCGCTTCTTATTCATCTATACCATAGACCATCAGACATATTTTCAGGTCACCCGCTTTTTCGGGGTGATTGGGAATTGAAGCCCCTCCCTAACCGATTCGGCCGGCTCCAAACCGGGCCCCTTTTCGAGGGAAGCCGAGGTGCTGTGCCCCCTTTCGGGGGATGTTGACCTTGATGTTGTTGGCATTAAAATCTTAAGCCACGAAGAAGACCAACCCCCCAACGCCACCATTGTCACATCCTTTTTTCAGACCCTGTCACGTTTCCCCTCTACCACCTAGGCAGCTTAGGCGGTCCGGCGGCTTTCTTTCCGGTCTCTTAGATGGTTTCCACTCTCCGAAACCACTAGCGAAATGCACAACCATTGTAGAGTCTGGGTGGCTTAGATTTTCTTGGAGTTGGTACCTGTTTCTGCGGGAAGCCAAACGGAAACTCGTAAGATTCGGGGGCTCCAAGTCTCCGAGTGCTCAACAAAAAGACACCCATATGGTCACAGGTCACAGGGATGGCTTTGGTTTGCAGTCACAAGCAAATCCGCGGTGCCGTGAAGACGCGCCATGTGGGGAGGTGGGGAGGGGATGTTTCTTTTTTGGGAATTGGACCCCTACCCCTAAAAGGCCACAAAAAGTGGCAACCCTCAAGCAAAGACAGACCCTCTAGGGGTGCCAGG